TGAAGAGCATGGTCCAAGATTGCCATAAATTTCAACAACTCTGCCAAACATAATAGCTGCATAATTGTTGGTAAAGATAGTAAGAGCAAGATAAATATATAGGCAGCTAGGGGTGGGTGGTATAGCCAAAATCCCAGTTTATAATATATATATATAATAAATTAATTAATTACTAGAATTATTATTATTATTATTTTAATTTTGGGATTATTTTACCACACCGATGTTCCCTGTCAACTTACCAGCCTGCAAAAAAATTGCTTATAGATTTCTCGTTATGCTTTATTATTACCAAATATTAGATTTAATCTTTTTCAATCAAATTGTTTTCTTTCAAATCATTTTCTTTTTGGAACAGATCGATTGTTCGGAGCTCATGCACCATGCACTTTTTGAGTGAATATTGCCAAAATTGTCCATAAATAATGCTTTTTTCACACACAAAAAAAGAGGTGCGTAAGCTCCGATCAACGAGGCCCACAACCAATCAGTTCAATTTTTAATTGAAATTTAATTCTAATTGAAAATATATGTACACACACACACAAACAAATATTGAAAATATTTTATATTAATTCTAAATTAGGTAAAGGATTTTCAGCATAGCACGTGTTAAATACTTGAAATAAAATTAAATAATTACAAATGAAAATTATTAATTTTTTTTATGTAGGACTTGATGGAAGCAATACAAAACAGTATTCATGACAAATGAATAATATGTTTGACACCGGTGTATATAACATTTATAAAACTAATTAAATATATTATAAATCAGATTGCCACTCTAAATTCTGACTGGATGAGTCAGACTGCATATTTTAGAATATAGCAAATTGCAAAGTTGCTCAGCAAATGATAAACAATAACCAAACTTCACTTTTTGTCAAATAGTCATCATCATCTTGTTTGGGACATGCGCTGTATTTTCACGTGGCTTCATGTTTCTGTCTTGTTCTCACATGTAAGATAAAGCAATTCTACCCTCTGATATATGCAAATATATCTACCGAGACATAGCAGTGCAGCAAAATGTCATCTAGTCCACACTGTAGCTGTATATAACGCCAAGCTGGGTAGCATTGCCATTGTTTGAAACATCATATTCAAATTCACACAGAGACAAATAACGGTTCTGCGCTTTAGTCCTCTGCTCTGCCTCCTCTCCACCTACATACAACTCTTCCTCATTGAATTTTTGGCAAAAAAAAGGCCTGGGTCTTGCCTGCTAGATTTACAAGCTGTTAGAATCGCAGAAGCCATCTTGTAAATGTCTAATTAAATGAGAAGAGATCACGAGGGACTGCATACCTGCCCGGAAGGAGCCATAAAACCCAATAAGGGGGGGAAAAGTTGGCCCCTGACAAAAACACTGCTGAGGATAATTACAGCAGGGGAATTTCTCTTCCCCTCCTCCTTCCTCTTGCATTACAGAAGCTGAACCATACGCACCAAACTTCAGTCTGCTTTTTTTCTGTATGTTTTACATTCATCAGTTTGGAAGACAGTTATATACAAAGGGAGTTGTAACTTAGGAAGTTGGGGTATTTATTTATTTTTAATTTTTTGGGTAAAATGTGCATGACTGTATAAAATAAAGTTATTCTTAGCTGCTATGACTGGTTACTATTTAGTTTTTTTTTGCAGGATTTTCTGCAGTCCTGTAGTGTGACAAGTGAAAATAATCTATGTGGATTCCACAATGTAACAAAAATTTGTTTCAGTTACACTTTTATGGTTCTTCTGTAATTCTATGGTGTTTTTAGACTTTTTAGAACTTCTATCATTAATTATTAAACATTGGTTTAGTATAATGTTTTATACTTAAAAAAAAAAGATATTTTGCTTTTGCACGTATGGGAACATTCTAGACGTTTCTGTAACATTCTGGAATATTCCATAATATTCTAGTGATATTCTATATTCTGTAATATTCTAATAAAAGCTGCATGCATAATAACTCAAGTTATTGTGATCTGCCAAATTATCAGACTTTTGTAAGCCATAAATCCTGATTGTTTGAATATTTACATGGACAAAATATTGGTTTACTTTCAAACTATTTTAATTAAAATTTTTACTTTCAATCTATTTTAACTTTAAATTAGTAAGAACATCTACCTTTTCCTTAAAGGTAAATACATATTAATAACATAACATTAATTCATTTACATATTAATTAAGGTGTTGCTAGTAACAAAAGTGCATGCATTACCATAGTATATGTGTTGCAGAACTATTAGAAAATGTCCTGTTCACGTCCCAGCAGACACCTTGATATCAATTTGACATCAAATATTAGTCATGACTTGATCGTCAGCTTGATTTGCATATTTGACCTGTTTCTTGACGTCAGTTTTGATGTCAGTCTGATGTCTTTTCAACATCAATTGCCCACTGGGTTATAATTAATGTTATAAGCATTATCTGTGAAAAGTGATTACCCTGATTCCGATTTCAGCTTTTTTTCAGTTTCATGTTACTTCTTAATTTAGAAATTGCTTCAAGAAAGGAAAAGATGAAAAAATGCTTTGCAAGTCACACTTCATTAAAGCCTGCGTAAAAATAATATACATTTTTTTTCTACAATGAACATACTGAAAATTATGCTCTTCACAGAAATCTTCAGTTCATTCCAATGAGATGTTCTGTGAAACTTGTCTGAGCAACAGTTGATGAAGCAAAAAAAGAAAGAACGAAAAACATAAAACAGTTTACACATTTACAATGGCTTGAGATGAAGTATATATAGCAAGTCAGATTGCAGGGCATGTCTTGAAATGTCATGTCACTTAGTGTGAATTTCTTTTAGAAAGAAACCCATGACCCCCATGATCGACTACCAGTCGAGCTACAGGAACTAGTAATGATTGTTGCTTAAATTCATAATGTTTTGGCATTAAATTTTGCATGCACTGCAAAGATTTTCCTCAGTATTTTTGTTTTACTTTCCAAAACAAATATCATTCTAAAATCAAAGATAGGATGGAGTATGAAAACCTCTTTTCCCTTTGAATCAAATTGATTTTTCACAGAAAACAAGTAAATGTATCATGGTTTAAGAAACTTTAGACATTTAAACTGGAAAACAAGACAAAAAATACAGAGGGAGAACATCACTTTTTTTGCAGTGTGATCAGAAATTACAGTCTAAGTTATTTCCGTATTCTAGATTTTGGGAGCAGAGCTATTCAAGACATTTTGTAAAATTCAATTTGGAAGATCGGAAACTGTGAAAACACTGTGCTCGGTGTATGACATTCATCATGTACTGAGGTTCATGCAGGTGATATGAACTGGAGTTTGTCATTACCTCTTCCACTGTCCCTATCAATAAAAGTGACAAAATGTCCAAAAATAAACCTAGATTTGCATTTCCTGATGGAAAAGGCAGGCAAAACAAAAAGTAACATGATATTTTAAAAAGTTGTAAACCCAAATATAGATAGAAGAAACATGGAAAGACTGATAGTAACATGAAGTGAAAGCTGTAAAAATGTAAGAACAAAACGTCCAGTCATAATTCAGTTTGCAAATTCATACTGAATTAATTCTACATGTTTAACAATGAAAGGGGAGATTTTCAGACTTTGATCACAAATTTGTTGAAAAGTTTGAATGGAGATTGAACAATAAGTAGTTTATACTGAATTAATTTCTTAAAGTTGGGTAGAAGAAAAACAGAATGTCTGAGTAGCCTAATATCAATAAAAGCACCTTGGAAATATATTCAACTAAAGCAAATCTCTTTCACACTGCTTTCATCCATCATCACTGAATCAGGCCTTGCTTTTAAGGCCAAATGGTTACAAACATCAAACATCCATAATCTTGCACATACACATCTAACAAAGTGCATGGCTGAGTTCTTCTCCAATGCATTGCAATGCTGCATCAAGTAAATGAAATATGCGCCTTGTTTTCTGTTGTCTGCAGAAAACAACACACAACTCAACTCCTCTAGTGACTATGGATGGTTAAAAGATACAAGAAAAAAGAACAATCAGTCAGTATACAAATAGATCTAAGACAGACGACCAATCACAATGCAGTACGCAAATATTACAACGTTATTGTTTGTTCAATATTGAATGTCATTCTAAAAGATATTTTCTAACCTGTATTCTGTCACCTTCATATATACTCAATTTTAGAAACTTCTATTTCTTTTTTTTATGAGACAATCCTCTGAGCTGGAAATGTCACATGATGAATCACTGTATATAAGATCTAAAAAAATTGTCACAGCTAAAAATGTGACTTATATGTTGCATATGAGTGTCCATTGACAAAGAAAGAAGCTTTTGGCTATAGCATCTACCAGCAGGGGTAAAAAATGCCGCAGATTAAAAGCCACACCTTGACCCCCTGATGCTACCTTGCATCACCGTAAAATCATGGACAGCAACCAAACGCTTACATTTAAAGTGGTTTTGTTTTGCCTTTTATTTGCAACACAGGCATGGGCATTCAGTTCAAAGGTGTTGTAAAGGATCTGATTGGTCAGTCAGACTGTGGATATTGCTCAGTATACATTGAGAACACACGGCAAATAACACAGCGTACCAAAACAGGCTACACGGACGAAATAGAGACAGGGTGACTGCCTTGTTTTTGTAAACAGAGTGAAGTTACACATTCTCACTGCAAAGAGGAGGGGCTCGGTCCAGCTCCGCCCTTTAAAGGGAAAGCAATTACGTACCCGCATTAGTGCATGCAAAAACACTGATCACCATAGTTAATGAAGCCAAGAGGGCAATGTGCCCTCATCGTCGATGCTTCTGTTTCACTGCCGGCAGGCAGAAATGGAGGAAAGATGAAATACAAGAAGAACAGATACTCAGGGAAACCATAGACGAAAGATTTACAGACACTCCAACTGAGGTTGCTTTACCTTAACCATATAAATGAACTCTAATGGACAATCCAATAGTAGACACGCAGTTTGGATGAATCCATTTTTTTTGGTCAAATAACCAGCATTTTCCATTTTTTGGCCTTTATAACTATTCGGAATTCGGAAGTCAGAAATGTGTTTACTTTGAATCTAGTCACTGCCGAGGTCTTCGTTTATTCTACCTTGTAGGTTAAGTAATGCTGCTTGCTGTGTCCTAGCAACAAGTAGGGCAACAATAACAAATGGATCCCTCCAATTGGGATCCATCCAATCATCTATGACATCACGAGCTGTTTAGCACATTCCCATGACTGTAAAATACCTCCATCCCTAGTCTCCTTCAGGACGTGGGCTTATATCTCCATACCGTCAAGAGCAGCAGGTCATACAATTCCATACTCCGCAAATCTCCGAACAAGCTAGTTACCAAAACTAGTCAAGTGAGATAAATGGCTAGGTCTTAGAAATGAGCAAATTAGTTGGCCTCAAGGGATTCCAGAAACTGTGCAAAGAATATCCACTGGAAACTTGCACCCATTTGTTGGTTGGGTTATTCCAAGTGTATACTATATAAGGCTCCTTCTGATCTGCCAAGCCATTAACCTTGATGTAATGATTAAACCTCGGCTCACTGGAAGGGACCTGAGCCGTAGCTTTTGTTCAACTGCAAGCACTGCTCCTCAAGCTGGTCCAGGAACTTGTCCACAGAGTCCTCTTTGTTTTCCAGCTTGAGATACTTCCTGGCGCTTCCGAGGTCGAGCTGAGGCCAGCTGCGGTGCTTCTGCTCTTCCACCGGTATAAGGTCAAGGCTTGTAATGCCAACCATGTTCACGCACACCTCTGAGCTGGACTGCCTTGGAAGCAGTCTATGGTGACCCGTCAAAGACAAGGACTTGTCCTCTGGATGCACCAGATCCCTGGGCAGAATTTGAGGTTTAGTCCTGTGGCTCATGCTGTAGGAGCGTCTGGGTGGGATGCAAAAGGTCTCCAAGTCCTCCCCACCCAGTGTGGACATCGAGGATGCAGTCATACAGTTGCTCAGTCCAAAGTGACTTTCTCGCCGCAGATCCAGTGCAGAGTTGGTCCCCCGTTCCTCTGTGCAAAAAACCTCCTTGCTGTTGTTGCAAGAGTTGGAGGTGTGAATCGAGGGCGTGGAGGAAGAGTCCTGATGATGAAGGACCTCAGTGTGCACAGGGTCTTGCTGCTGAACGCTGTCCTCCTCATCTATGCTCTTCACTTGGAGTAGAGGCTCCGAACTGGACATTTCTTGCAGGCAGAGGATGTTCAGATGGGCTGCAGGTAAACTGCTGACCCATTGGTAGTGGCTGGCAAGAGAGTTCACCTGCAAGAGGTCTGCCGAGGGCACGGCTGCAGAAACAGAGCAAATGACGCTCCGCATCTGCGCCAGAAGCATTTGAGTTTCCCTATCCCGATTCTCATAGAGTACCGTATTGGCACAAATAAGTATGAAGAGTCCCACTCCCATAATGACAGGTCCTAGTAGTTTCATCCTTTCGCTATGAACCAGACTTGCTGCGGAAATCAGTCCTTTGGACCCTAATCCCCATCCTGATGCGCTTCCAGAGGAACCTTCCTCTGTCGTGTCCACTGATGATCGATGGGCCCTGTACGGCCAGTAGCCTGCCACGGCAAGAGTGGTGCCAACAACAACAACCACTACCCCAAGCACCAGAAAGGCACCTGGCATGGAACGGATACGCAGCTTTCCCTGGATTACACCTTCTTTCTTTCTCCTGGTGTGAAGACTGAAACGTGGCAAGCGCTGGCGGGAAGGTGTGGCTGACGTCCGGCCGCGGGACTTCTGAGTCCTCATGGCACAGGCTGGTCTGTAATGGTCCCTAATGGGAGTCTGAAAAGGTGAAGAGGGAAAGGTGAGATTAAGGTTAAGGTTGAGTGTTGACAATCATTCAGCAATGCATTCACGTTTTTCATCATAATGTTTGCATCAGATTCCTAAACAAATATGAAATATGTGCTACAACTACTATAACCCCTTGTTTACTGTAAATTGAAACATTGATGCTAATGGTCCTGGGATTTTTTTTTTCTTTAGTCCTACTCAGACTTGTTTGTTATAATGGCTGCTATTAATATTTAATCCATAGGGGCTTGTCTTGTTTTAAATAATTTAAGAAAACATGCACAGTGATTTCTACTTTACAGCCTGCAAAAAGCACTTAATACATAGTAATAAATTAAAGGAATGTTTCAGGTTAAATACAAATCAAGCTCTTGACTCATTTAATGAAATGTACGATTAGCCCGTGGACTTTAATTGTATTTGCATAACTGTTGGATGAGTTTTAAGTGAAATAACAGGAAAAAAGACTGGCAATGTATGAACCAGTGCATCTTGCACTTTGATGGGAAAATCAAAGATAAATGGCACAAAGAATCAAAGATTTAGTTAAAATTTCAGAAACATAATGTATACATATAGCAGGGATGCCCAATCCTGCTCCTGGCGATCGACTGTCCTGCAAAGTTGAGCTCCAACCCCAATCAAACACACCTGCCTTTAATTTTCAAGTGATCCTGAAGACCTTAATTAGTTGCTTCAGGTGTGTTTGATTAGGATTGGAGCTGAACTTTGCAGGACAGTCGATCGCCAGGAGCACGATTGGGCACCCCCGACATAGAGTAACACCATTCTGATGGTGTACCACAAACAAATCATAGATCGTATTTAAATAAATTGTATAGGCTCTAAATATACTTAGAAGTAAAGAGGATGATGCTGTGTTTTATTGCAGTGAGAGTATTCCCAGTCCCTCAAACAATTTGTAAACTGTTGCATTAGATTTAAGGCATGACATATTTCTTTAATACACTGACAGATAAAGTACCCAGCTGGGTTCCCAAAGGGAGCTCCATATATTAAACAAGCTTAGTTGGTTTTAGGTCATTTCTTTATGTTGTTGATTTTAACTTGAAGAAGAAACAGGTGTGCAGGGGAGGCCTTGCGCTCATTGCATTGACCGAGGCAAAAATAAATTGAATCACTAAGAATCTCCAAAGTCCATGCCACTTTTGGCTGAGAAAGAATGTGGGGGAAAAACAACAGTCCATAAATGAGAAATTATATGTGGCTAATTCACTTTGGAATAACAAACGCTCCATTGGCAGAGGTTTCTCAACAACTCTGAAAATGTCATTTACAATTCCGCCAACTCACTTGGTTTGTTTAAACTCATGGGAAATGCTTTGAATGTTCTGCTAGAATACTTAAATCAGATAGAACTTGTAAGCAACATGTCAGTATTCTAAAAATACAAAGTTAATGACCAAACGTAAACACTGAGGTTGTGGCAAAATCTGTATATAATAATAATAATCATAATAATAATAATAATAATAATAATATGTAATTTTGGCACCAATTCCCTTTTGAAATTAATACTGCATCATAAACTACTGAAATTTTTCCTTTACAACTATGCAAATGTCAAACTCCACAAGTAAAATGAGATGCACACAGAAAAACAATCTATAGTACACGCATCTCGGAGCATATGTTTGGACTGATTCATCAAAAGGCTGGATTGATGAATTCCAGACCTCTTTTTTCCATTACCAAGTTCAGGTTTACTTTTAATGGCTGTTCACTCTGGTTTCCAAATGGGTGAAATTATACAAGAGTATAAAATATAAACAGCAGATGTAGATCAATCGTTCAATCCAAATTGTGTTGAATGTTTCAAATTATTGTTTGGTTATTTGTACAGATTATTATTTAAGCACCCAAGTCATCTCTTTGCAGACAGGATTCTGCATGTGGAGCTGAACTTGACTGTCACATACATTCGTGTCTGAACACTCAAATATTCCTGCCATCATTGGCATAAATGCATGTACAGTCTAAATTGATTGTGACAGACTGATTTCCATAATGCATGTAAAATGAAGAGAAAAGGTTATTTTTGACATTGCAGTAAGCCTCATAAAACATTGTTGTGGCTGTAACATCACAAAAAAACAACAACAAAAAAAAACTTTTTTTCTTATTCAATTGAGCATGCGTATATAATGCACCATATATATATAATGTTAAAAAAAATGCACCAAATGTGATCCATAATTTTGTTGTAATTCATTATCATTTCAGACACATTTCTGGACGCTTCTCAAAGATTGACCAGCTTGTGCTAAAATGATCTTAGACATCAAAACATCTCTTTTTTTTTTCTTAATAGTGGGTTCAATCTCAAATTCATTCATTCTAATAAATATATGCCCCTCTCTGTATATCAAATGGAATTAAACAGTTCTACATATTGAAGGCACCATTTCTCGATTTGCGTCCAAACTTGAGATTAGACTCCACCAATAACACTACAAATCTATCGACCTCTAATAAGGTCAAGTCAGTTGCTGTATTGATATTGGCGGCGTTACTGGTTACAAATGTATCAAAGGCGAGATATAGAGAATGCGTTTACTTGCCTTTGTTACAATGTGTATCGTCAGCGTTCCATCGTTCTACCGCGCTGGACACGCATGTTCGAGATGTTCTTCACCCGCTGCGAAGTTTCGCGGTTCTCCATCAATCCAGACGCGTGCGAAGTGCCGCGCGTCTCCCATGACAGCTCTTCCTCTCCAGAAGAGGACACTGAAGGGTTAAAAGAACTGACTTTCTAAAGGCAGATAAGGTAAATGTCGCTCCATCATCTGTATTCACCGTCTGTCCGTTCACCAGTGTCCACATTTCGTGTTCTCCCCTCAGTAAAGCGTTGAGGAGAGCGCCGCCTTCGTCGAGACTCAGTGGAGTGACCAGACTTCAGTTCGCTTTCCATAGTCAGGCAGAGCACATTACACAAATATTCAACAGGCTATATTACTCTCTTTGTGGTTTTGAAGAGTAAAGTCTCTCCGAGCTTGTTGGTGGACATTAATATATATAGGTTTGTAATGTAATATTGAGGGAACAGAAGAGGAAAATGATATGGAAAAGCTGGCACACAAGTATATTTGACATACCAGATACCGGACAGCTTTTGTTCTCTTCTCTGACTGTTGGCGACATCTTGTGGGGAAAGTTCATTTTTAACTGAAAAAATTACCCGAGGTCAATGGTGTCAAGGTAATGGTTAGACTTCTCAATCAAAAATGAGATTAGAGAGAAGACAGTAGGGAATTTAAAGTCTTTTTTTCCCCTTTTCAGTGTTTGGACATCTTTCTGTTTCATTGAATGGTAAATAGCAGCACACCGTCTAAAACCATCTTTTGTTTTCCATATTCATACTGGTTTGGAATGAAATGAGTCAATTTCCTTTAAACAGTTTTTATAAATTTGACTCTGCAATACTGGTAAACCCACCACAAAGTCAAGGTAATGGTTAGACTTCTCAAGCAAAAATGAGATTAGAGAGAAGACAGTAGGGAATTTAAAGTCTTTTTTCCCCCTTTTCAGTGTTTGGACATCTTTCTGTTTCATTGAATGGTAAATAGCAGCACACCGTCTAAAACCATCTTTTGTTTTCCATATTCATACTGGTTTGGAATGAAATGAGTCAATTTCCTTTAAACAGTTTTTATAAATTTGACTCTGCAATACTGGTAAACCCACCACAAAACACCTTTGTAAATGAACTGAATGGACACAGTATTGTGAGGCAGTGGTTTTTTATTATTTTTGTATGGAGAACGTTGTTGTAAAAAGACCATAAACTCTGCCCCAGCTTAACAACAACTATGGTACATTTCTAAATACACAATGCGAAGGCAAGGACATCTACTGTTGGTTTAATTTTATGAATAAAATATATTGCAAGCAATTTTAAAATAAAAACAACTAAAAATGATGCATAAGGTTAACAATACCAGTAAATACTGAAATGTGAATACGCAAGCAATTTCCCTAATACTACCTATTTGACAAAAAAGGAAAAAAGAAAAAAAAAAAATGCAGTTTGCTTCAAAGAAGAGAAACGTAGGGTAGAACAACATTTAGACACATTTAGACAAATGTCAGTCTATTTTTGTCATTTTCAAGAAAAATATTTAAAAACAAGATGCACCGTTTTGCTTTTCACAAAAAAGTAACATATTCAGATTTGTTTTCAGATAATATCTTGAATTCAGATTATTTTCTTACCTCAACCACAAATTGTCTTTTTTATAGCACAAATCTAACCGTTTAGTGACAAAAATTGTCAATGGGGTAAAAAAAATAAAAATCAAGATATATTCTTGTTTTAAAGATGTTTAGTTAGACTGGAAAACAAGAAAAAAAATGCCAATCGGAAATTTTGTATATTTGTTTTTAAATTTAAGAACGTGACCTTGAGCGGGATCGAGATCGGGAATAAGACCGCGAGCGTGAATGAGAGCGAGATTTGGATCTGGATCTGGATTCCCTCCGCAGATCAGCATCTGGTGGCGTTTGTGATCTGGATCGAGAATGAGCTTTAGAGCGGTGCGGCCTTTCAGTCGCCCGGCCTTCATCGCTGCTCTTGTTTGCCTCCTGAGATTTGGACCCAGACTCTCGGGAGAAATCCTTGTCGTTCTCCGATTTGGATCGAGATCTGGAACGGGACCTGGATCGAGAAGAGGAGCGAGCCCTCTTGTTCTCCCGTTTGCTCTTTTTGCTCGGGGGGCTTAAGCTCGTGCTATTATCCCTAGCGCTTTCACCTCCCCTGCGAGCTCCATTACTGCTCTCCTCCATCCTACTGCTCCTGCCCTTTGCCTTCTTGCTGGTTGACCTGCTGCGTGATCGTGAGCCTGAGGCTCTGGAAAGAGAGAAATCCACATATTAGCTAGCACCTTTGAAGCCACACAGATCTTATTATTGAAATTACTGCCCTCTAGTGGATTCATGCATCTAAACTGTGCTTATACTACTGTCATAAGAGAATGTAGAAACTTGAATGTGAAAATTTGCAATGCAGAGCATATCATGTGTAGGAAAGGAAGTTTTTGCTTTCAGGCTCAAATACTATTTTAGTGAATTTGAGCACTAATCAATATTGAGCACTGCTCCTTGTAGAAATAAAGTAAAAAAAATAATAAAATAAAAAAAACTGCATTAGCAACCGTAACTAGATATTTACCATCAGGGTTTGAAATTAACACCCGCCAACCCGCCAAATGCGGGTAAAAATCAGCTGTGGCGGGTAACGCTGTCAAATCACTAGCCAATTTGGCGGGTTACTTTTCGTAAATTATGTTCACTCATTAATTTCTTGGGGAAGTTCATGCAGGCCAAATCTGCACAGGTTTAGCGCAAATACATATTGGCTGTTTTTGCGCTATTTCTGTGCCATTTCGCCAACAAAAAAAACATTCCAAACACAGCCACAGTACTGTTTTGCGTCTCTGAGCAACATGACGTTGTTTAGTAGCCAAATTGGCTGGTGAGTAAAAAAGTTAATTTCAATCCCTGTTTACCATGAATTTTAAGTGTATTGGAACTAGGGCTGGGCGATATAGCTAAAAAAAAAATTATAAATTATATAATGTTTCATATAGTATTGATAACTATTGACTTTTTTTTTTTACCTTTACCTTTTTTAAAACAAAGTTTCAATTTAACCACTGTATTTCTAATTTATCCAATTTATTAAGACAAACAACAAATAATTTTTTTGTTTTAACAGTCAAACACAAAATAAAATTTAAACAAATATCGTCTTTATGTTTATTCAGATTAAATAAGTCTTAAAGAAACTTTTGGCTTGTCTCCCGAGGCCACAGGAAGGTGCAATGAGCAAAATAATGCAGCGCATTAAATTGTCAATGCAATGAAATAACGGTCTATAAAAATGTGCATAACGTCTAAATTAACAAATCAAATATAATTCCGTAAAATTGCATAAACAATTATGAACAAAACAGTATCATCTATTTATGCATTGCTTAATACAAAAATTTAATTTAAAAACATGACGCAGTGAAATGGAATAAACCTCCACAAATTCGCAACATATTTCTAAAGGTTTAAACTCTTAACTTTGCATGGCTTTCAATACATCTTGAGATGCAAGTACAGCAGTCATATTTGTCTGTCTAAAAATGCGCTGAATATGCGCTCTGTTACGGTTTGGCTTGGTTTCGGTTTTAAAGGGGTGGATGATTGCGATTTCACTTTTTTAACGTTAGTTAGTGTGTAATGTTGCTGTTTGAGCATAAACAATATCTGCAAAGTTACGAAGCTGAAAGTTCAATGCAAACGGAGATATCGTCTTTTAAAATTCTGGCAGTTTAATGCCTACAAAAATGGCTGGTAGGGACTACAACAAGTATAACAATGATCTGTTCCAATTATACACTTTTCACATAGCTGAGAAGCGTTAAACATGGACGTGCGTGCAGTTGCCGTACTGTACTAAAGCTTTAATCAGGATAAAACCGTATATATTAAAAGCTAACATAAGCAGGAGGGCTGTGTATCACCAGCATAGTCAAAATACGATACGTATAACAAACAAAAAACATAGGCCTACCTAAACATGGACGTGCGTGCAGTTGCCGTACTGTATTAAAGCTTTTTTCAGGATAAAACCGTATATTAAAAGCTAACATAAGCAGTAGCATTTACAAATAACAGCGTATCTAAAAGTATGAGACAACAACAAAAAACATGGGCCTACCATTAAAAGCCATGCTTGCACAGGTTCTGCACGATCTTCTTCAATAATATCCTCTGCTTCTCAATCGGGCTCAAACTGATAAGCGATATTAACAATGCCGTTGTTTACAATACAACCGGAGCACATGCCGCTGAGGTGAGGGGTGGGACGTTTAGACACGCACTAGAGGCGGTTTAGCCAATCACAACACACTGGGCCAGCTAACCAATCAGAGCCCATCGCCTATTTCTGAGGGCGGGGCTTCATAAAAGCAGGAAATGATCAGCGCGTTTCTCAGAGAAGGGACAGAGCGGTGTGGAATAGAGGTCAATTATGTGAAAAATTCGTTTTTAAAAAAGATAAGCATTAACACATGTTAGACAGCACCCCATAAACACAATCAAGCCTAGAAAAAAACCAGTGAACCACCCCTTTAACCTAATCAAGATTTTCTCCGGATTGAGCTTTTATATTTCTCTAATATCTTAAATGAATAACGCAGCAGCGGCGCGTCTCGTGGGTTAGACTAACAAAACATTAAAATGCAACAACGATCTCGTGCGCCGCTGATGACTCTCCCTGACAACACACCTCACATTCGATTGCACTTTTTTTGCATTCAAATGCAAATTTGTATTTCAGATTCGACTAATATTTATTTTTTATTCCCAATCTCTTCCTCACAGGCAGGCACAGCACTCATTTCATCAAGTGTTCTTGTGTGCTGTCTGCTTTAGGGCTGTCGCGATTCGTCGATTCTATTCGACTATTAAATTTTTTTAAATCCTCGACTTCATTTTGCCTGCGTCGACTAACCGGCAAAATACCGGAAGTGGTGCATTTCAAGGATGAGAATCCATAAAACACATTATTAGACTGTTTTCCAAGGCCTCATGATATATTAAACCCCATTAAAAATCAGAATTAAGCATAACGATTTAATTAAATAATTATATGTGATGCAGTTATAGGCGTGTAGGTTACGCACGTGCGTCTCACAGCAGCTCCGTTCACAGGAACTGCTTTCATTTACATGCGTGGAGCGTCTCAAACTCCATCTGTGCATGTTGTTGTGAGTTTGGGGGACTCTAAACATTGCATTTATTTCATGTGAAAACCCAACTGTTGGGGTTAATTGAAACTTTATTTTAAAGATTATTTTTCCCTTTGTAGTTGCACTCACAGCTGTAATGAACAGAAGCCCAGAACATGTGGATATATTGACATTAAGAACATGCTGACTTTCTCAGACTTCTGTAATTATTTTCTTTTTATTTCATTTTTATTAGGTTTGTTTACATTTTTACTCTTTTAGTTTTACATTTCGTCAATGGCTTGTTTACATTTATACTTTTTTATGGTACACTACTGAATGGCAAAGTTGCAAGTTTAATAAAATGTTCTTTAAAAGTGTTTTTTTTTTTGTGGGGGAAATTAATAATTTAGATTAATCGATAAATTAGTCGATAGATTAATCGAAATAAAAATAGTCGTTAGTGGCAGCCCTAGTCTGCTTGTCATTCATAGCACGTGCCAATATCGTGCGCTATATTGAACATTTTTTCTATCATTATCGATGAAGGTGTACGGTCAATAAATTCCGATACCATTTATCACCCAGGCCTTGGAAGAGTCATTTCTGACCATTTTGCACAACCATAATACTTCACTACAATACTCAAATTTACAGTTTTATAATTCAATAGATATATTTCTCACCCCTATGACGCCTCAAGTTAAGTATATGAGCGGTGCCTGCATGGCCACAAAATTTGCAAAAGGTGTTACCTAGATGAGCACCGAGTGCATTAACATGCTTAAGAAGGACTTCTGTATAATATCCTATGAAAGCATTTTATTGCACACAACCAACCAGAGCTTTAAATGTTTTCTAAAACAGAAAGTCATTTTATTTCTCTTCAAGTTCACAGTGGAAAACTGAAGTCTTAATTCACTTGAGTTGTCTACCTTGAGCGGCTACTGGTTCGGCTGTGGCTTCGGCTCCTGCGAGACCTCCTGCTCCTGGAGCGTGACCTGAGGGATGAGAGCAAGCAACTTTACACACACGTGTTCACTGTGAAACTCTAAAGAAGCTTTTACTACAAGCAAAGTTCACTTAGCCTATCATTAATATCCTGACATCAAGTTGTGACATGCAAAGTCTTAGTTAACTATCAGTTAAATGTCTCCCACATTAGCAACGTAATTCAATTATAAAATTGATTTGTTTGCACCTGGAGGCGCTGCGAGAGTAGGAGCGGCGGCGTCTGGCACCAGGCCGGTCCTCGATGAGCCGAATCTTCCTTCCGTTGACCTCGGTGCCGTCCAGTTTCTCCAGGGCTCTTTTCATGTCGGAGTACTGCCTGAACTCAATGACCCCCTCGTTCTTGCGGCCCTTGTTAGTGTCTGCGTAAGTCACCTCACCAGCCTGACGCATGTAGTCCTGTGAATCCATGAAACGATAGTGACTCTCAAGAACAAATCACTGATCATGTTTACAGGACTGACTTCCTAAAGGCTTAAAGTACATAATAGTTTAACCCTTGTGCATCCTTAGGGTCTTTTTTTTTTTGGGCTGTGTTAATGCAAAAAGCATGCATTTAAAAAGCATGTGTTTTTATTGAAATTTTTATATTTCACTATTATTTCCTATCATAAATCAATTTTACAATACGCACAAAAAGATTATACTCAGGACCTTAAGGACAAAAAGGTACCTACTGAAACCTATTAAAACAGCGATATTTAATCTCAATGCCATTTAAGCATAAACTCGTGCATTCTTTGTTTATAGGCTTTAATTTTGTTGGCAAGGCTTCAAAATTACACTATATATATATTTTATTGTATTATTTTCCACCTGATGGCACCATTTTCTCAGGTTTGATCTACGAAGCAAATATTCGATTTTTTTTTTTCTGCTGGAAAAACAGGCCAGTTGAATTGAAACTATGTAATTAAAATTATTTTGTGGGTGTATGGATTTCAGAGTGTAGATTGTATGCGTGTACTGAGAAATTTGTGTGAATGGTAGTTGTTTTTTTCTTCACCAAAAAAATAAATAAATAGATGCATCAAAATATTAAAGATGTTTCTAATCAATGACTTATCCAAGACTATAATAATCCACCCAAAATTCTGTTTGGCATTTAGTAAATGAAAAATGAACAATAACAGTGAGATTATGTAAACAAGCTGGTAGTTAAAGGGTTAAAATCCTGAAAAATTATTTTTGTACTTATGATCAGAACTGATGTTGGTAAACAAAATGTCAGTGAAAGCAGAAAAAAATATAACACTAATGACTAGGGATGTAACGATATCAAAAATCTCACGATACGATAATATCTTTATAAAGTCTACGGTATCAGGGCTCCAGACAAAACAAATCGAGTAAGGATAAGAAGCCATATTAGTAATGATTATAAACGAGAATTGTTAACGATATTGCCAATATCCACACAGCTGACAGCTTTACCTGTTGTAGTTTGTTCAAGTTGTGCACTTTTACGCGCACGTCTCCGTCATGTCGATCTCTCTCGCGCTGCAAAGCTCAGCTGTTTAGCAGGTGTGCGTCAGAGATTGTAAATATATATAGTCGGCAGTGGAGACCTCCACAAAAAAAATAAAAATTCACTCGCAAATTAATATTTTGGATCGCAAATGCGACCGTTTTAGTCACAGACAATGAAAATTTTGCACATTTTAAAATTAAATTGTTCAAATGCACTTTTGACAGTTCAAAATTAAGAGCTCTAACCCATGATCTTAACTAAGAAAACTTCAGGAAAAAGTCAGCGAATTGCTTATACCTGAACTTTAAAGGCAACTCAACCCTCTTTTTATTTGTGATATACTGTTTCAGTCTAAATTACATTCACACTGGTGTTTTAGGAAGCCAAACTAATTAGAATATAATAACGATAACAACAACTTTATATTATTGTTATTCCTATACAGTAATAGCCATATATTGTAAAACAATTGCACCGTAAAATAAATGAAAATTAATATTTCATAGGTATATTATTTTTGCTTTACACTACAGTAGGGAAATTACAATACTTCTTTCCTAATTTCTACACTTAAAAGAGATATTTTGAATTTGGACTGCAGTAGCATTACCCATTTAAACCGCTAGCTGTCAGCAATTCATGCTGCACCTTTAAGCTTATATTTTGACGGAAAACTCCAGCTTCAGTGAAAACAGGCTTACAAAAACGTGTCTCACTGCAAATCTAGTAAAATGCAGTAATCATCTGCTGTGAAAATAACTGGTGGTGGTTGCCAAACACGCGGTAAACTCACAGCACATTCATTAAAGAGTTCGGAGAAATGTCTGATAGGATGATGGCGAATGATTTGCAGATCCTGAGCACCAATGACAAACATCTAATCGTGTCAAATGTGTGGTAAGTACTGCCGCTCCATAGTATAGAGTCCTTGTGATCGCCAATCTCAAAAGTGAAAGTGACAGTAAAATGAGAGCGCGCAATCAAAAGCGGTTTCAATAGCGGCTCCCTGATGCCCGCAGTTTATATAGTCGCCTATACTTACCCAACAATATAATTGCGAGAAAAGTATTGAAATATATGTTTATCCTCCCATCTCGTAGGCTATTTATTCCCTTTAGGGTTTCTATTTGAAAAACTACACTTTTTGCCCACAAGACAATATCGTAATAATACCGTTACATCCCTACTAATGACCTTTGTTTAACACAGACATTTTTATCCTTTAAGGACCTCAATGTATCTTAAATTGATGCACAAGGGTTAATACAGAGGGAGAAAAGAAGTGACTTGGCTATTGGCAGCCATAACATGCAACAATAATAGTAAGGCTTCCCTCAGCAAACATAACACTTAAAGGCCTTTTCACACTGAACACGAAATTTGGCGCGATGACGCTTTTGAATCGAAATAATAGATCCCTATGGGACTATTCACACCAGGCACGATCATTCGCGGTGCGATGAAACGGGCCGTCCAATTACATTTGAGCTTAGATCACGTGTCTGGAGCAGCTGCTGTTGCACAAAAGGGTGAGAGTGGTGGCGCTGTTTCGAAAACCAGTGTAAACAAATAACACAGAAGAAGAGTATTCTGAGAGAGAAGAGGAGTTCTTATCCAAGAACAGATTTATTCTCACATGTTCTTAATATAATTTCTATTAATTCTCCACTGAATTATGTGATCTGGAGAGCACTGTCCATTTTCTTCCACGTGTGTGAGTGTTACACGAGTCAGAGCGCGTTCACTCTCTAGATATTCCGTATTAAAAAAATTTTTAAAATCAAGGGAAACATTTTTCTACACATGAAATATGAAAGCAAATAGACATGTGACTTAAATGTAGTATGACGATATATTTTCTGTAAGTGTTTTGTATGCAGCTCATGGTAATTTTATAACAATAAAGGATGTTTATAACAATAAGCAGTGTGGCGTTATTGATCTATAGATCACAATCAGTTACTACAAGCACTGGATGATGGTTTAAAGTGGGTTTTAAGGAAATGCATGAATAATTACATACATTTTCAAGTGTAGATTGATGCTAATTGTACCTCTACACATATTTTAGGATGTATTCTTGTAAGCATTACAGATAGTTTGTTTCTGACGTAGAACCAAACTTTATTTATCCTAATTTAATGCTGTCGAGCAGCGGACGATTTTAAAGGGGTCATATGATGCGATTTCAAGTTTTCCTTTCTCTTTGGAGTGTTACAAGCAATTCAGGAAAGGAAAAACACAACAGAGTCTCCACACTGGCCTTTAAGACTCTGTGGATTTCACACACACATTAACACTTAAAGACAGCAATAATCTACAAAAAGCTATGAAATTATAGAAAAGGTAAGTTTTATATATGGTTTAAAAACTGAGCTTACTTCAACTAGAGCACAGTAATGTACAAACTGAATTTGAAACTGAAAGTTTTAGAATCACATGAGAGTGAGTAAATGACAATCATTTTTAGGTGAACTATCTTCTTCAAGAACTGAAAACATTCCACCAAATAACATACTTACGCTGTACTTAAGAGATTAATTATTTGGGGAAAGGGAAAATGTCAAAAGAAACAAAACCAAAACACCTAAAAGAGCTCAAACCACATCTCCTAAACCCCTTGAGATCCTCACCACCCGGCTTAATGGGAAAAGCGGTCCTCTTTCACACATTGGCTCGCTTTAATGGTCTGCCCAGGGGCCCAGGGAAGGGGGACACCATGGCCAGCAAAAGGGGCAGGCGGTCAGACTCTTTTAATAAAACATTGAGTGTTAAATTTCTAGCTTTGACATTATAAGTTATTCCATTTATAAATAAATAACTTAATCATTATATTGCAACAGTTATAATCTGCATATAGTGAAGCAGAAACTACAATACTCAGAATTACTAGCTCATTAAGGTGATTCTTCATTTAGGGACACTTGAGAAAGCTTACTTGAGATAAATCCTTTTTTTAATTTTTTTATTTGAGATATTCTTGTATGGACAAAAAGATACTCCCAACTGAAGAATCACCGATCAGTAATATTCTAAAGATTACCACTCATACAATTTCACTCCCTAAAAAAGTTCAACAGAAACTGTATATGTAGTAAGGTTTGTATTGGGTGCTTTAATAATATAATTGTGTATGTGTTACATCATGGCATGTTTATGTAAACAAACTAGTGAACTGAACCAGTTCATTGAAACGACCGGTCTGAAAGAACCACTTTGCGGAAAATAATCAGATTTCCCTGTTGCCTGAGGCTATGGATACAGTTAATAATGTTGTAAATAATGTTCAATTACTTGCACAGGATGATCATTTCACTTCATAAGACCTCAATATGTCGTCAGGAGCCACAGGCATTAATTGATATGCTTTTTAATGTCAAATACAGGCAACCACTGACTTACACTTAACGAAACAAGGACCACGACTTCAGCTAAAAATCTTTACTGTTCTACTGAAGAAGAAAATGACAGCTACATGGCAGATGGCGTAAATTAACAGCACATTTTTATTTTTGAGTGAACTATTCTGGTATAAGGATAAAAAATTATAACGGGCATGTGGAGCACCAAACTCTCCATTTGAGAAGCCTGAAAATATTCAGTGTTTGTACAATGCTTTCAGATGATGTATAAATCTCAATTTCAAAACATTAAACCTCATGACTGGTTTTGTGGCCTAGGATCACATTTCCTAATGAAACAGCAAGTTTAGGCACGAGTTCTCAAAAGCTTTGTACCCTTTTTTCTTTAGCACAGCCATTATTTACATCGTTGCGCTTTCATATAGGCCTACATATTTTTGTGAACAATACAATTCAATAAAATGACACAAACAAGCACATAAAAAAGCACTAACGGCGTACAGAGGGTTAAAAGTTGAAACGCTAGGTAACGTGAACTACACACGTTGCGTAAAACCTGACCATCATGCAACTAGAACGCTGCTTTCATTAATATTCTCATATTTTCACTCAAATTGTTGATCATATCATTTGTAAAAAAAATAAATTTAAAAAATAAATAAATAAAAAGTCTAAATATAAGCATTTTCACTAGGGCTTTAGACTTTTGGACCCTACTGTATTTATAAAATAAATTAAATAAACTAGATTTAATTTTTAGTGACTGGAACTATAAAAGGCAAAAGGAAGCACTCGATCGAGGCCAGCCTGGAAACAATGGAGTTTAGCCTGGTGGGCTAACACCGCTAAAACAAATCTGCTTTAAAACGACTGATTAAACTCCGATTTTATATTTCCAAACACATTTTTACGCGTAATTCATTATCAGGGCTATTTAATCCATTCCGGAGCTCTCTTTTGATTCGTGTGGAGCAAAAGAAACAACAAGTTTATCCTTCTTAAAGACTCAATCGCTGCTTCGCCTGCACATGCAGCTCGGTCGAGTAAAGAGAATATCACATACCCGTTTTTCAGGTCTACTTCCAGTATCTTCCCATAGCCTTTAAAAAACCTTTCGACATCTTTCTCTCTGGCGCGATAGCTCAATTTTCCCACGTAAACTCGAGACATTTTCCCGGTGCAGCAGCTCGGCGTGGAGAGTCAGCAACAAGAAGATATGCGAGAGTCAAAGTAAGAGTCCCGCATTTGGGGTTCTCCAAAATAAAAGTCCCAGCGCTTGTTGTGATTGTGAAAACACCAAACAGCCGCTTAGAAGTCGTTGCTTTAATTTTCTCGCTAACTAACTTTAATCCTTAAAACTAATTTAATTATTTAACACTCTTCATGAAAAAAATATTCTTTTTCGAAGTTGTCAAAACACTGCACAAGGAAAAAATGTGCTGTTTATTTTAAATAAAGTTTGTGTTCATGCTAATACATTGTTAATTTATAAACAAAAAAAAGTCTATTTATGGTTTAGCCTATATCATAAATCTTATTTCATAAAAAAAAAAAAAAATCATGTTCAATTATATAAATTATAGGCAGCTATCTTAAAATAAACGTCCTGGACTCCAGAATAACATAAATACTGTTTCTTTTATTTGGTTGCTAATGGTTGAAATGATTCGCAATTATGCACAAACCTATTGCAATATTGCACAAATTGCATGCATGTTTACAATGCAATGTCATCCTTTATTAAATATCGGAATAAATGACTTGATTATGAAGCATGTGTGTGGAACGAAATACACTTTTTTATCGATTCCAGTGTGAATTGTTTTGCAAAGATTAGTCATTATCACATGCACTACAACCATCAAAGTTGGCTAAGTGAAGATTTTGACAATACACAACCTAACAGCCATGACAATAGTCAAGTGTGACACAAAACACATCTTTTAAATACTCGGATTGATAGAAGCTGTCTTTGTCTTAAGCCACAGTATGATGAAATTGCCTGGCAAATGCATACATGTAAATTGCAAAGAAAAGGTTAAATCAGGCCCATGGAAAGACAGGGCCACAGGAGTCTGGAAACAAGGTTTTCACTCCATCATAAGCGACTGCATAAGGACCCTGTGTCCACCAGGGGGCCCCATGCCGTGCGTTCAGATAAGGTTTACTTGTGAGTCGTGTCTCCTCAAGTAGTGACTTGTTTGAAGTTGTACAGAATTTGTTCACTCTTCTTGCAGCTGAAACCCATTGGAGAGCCATTCTCAAAGATCATGCTGATATCTCATCTACAGGTGAGGGAGAAAACTAAAGATTGAACAGGACTGAAGCCCAGTCACTCGAAAGAGGATCCTTCAGATTTCAGGGCCCCGTATTCACAAAACATCTTAAATCTAAAAGTAGCTCATATCTCGTCAATTTAGGAGAAAATCTTAAAAATAATGGGCGTGTCAGTCCTAAATTTAGGACTCCAAAATTTTTGCTCTAAGAGTATTTCACAAAGCGCTGTAGCACTAAAACTAGCTCCTAAATCTGTGAAAGGTTAGGAGTAGTGAAGAGGACTCCCAAGTCACTAAGACCAAACCCCAAACTATCCTAAAATGGCTGTTGCCGGCAATCTGCCTCGGAACGTAAATATTTTAGAAATATTTGACGATAATGAGCTTTTATTATGTATCACCTTTGGTTTTGGAGGTTATTCCAACTCCAGATTTTCCTTTGATTAGGAAACATCAATGCAACATCATCTTTAAAGGAAAAAGGGTCCTTGTTTTCATTAACCAGTTGGGCAAGAAGTAACAGCTGTGCCTGCGTCCAGTTTGATTTTCTTTTACATCTGCACGTCTTACTATCAGCCGTGATTATTCTACTCTGTTAATTGAAAGGCTGTTTATATGCATAGTCACTAATTGTTTACGGGAAGCATAAGCACACTTAGCCTGCATTTTAAAATCGTTCTTTGAATGTGGCAATTAACATTTTTATTTTTAAATCTTTATTTGAATATGGCAACATAACATTGCGCTTTGCAATATTTCTATGAATAAATCTCTGACAGAGACTATCAGCCAATCACTGTGTGCATAGTTAGTAAGCATGCTGACATCATCCATAGTAACGAGGTCAACCCCGCCCCCTTTCTCTGAGCTTAAAGGAACACCCCTCATTTTCCAACTCCCCTAGAGTTAAACAGTTGAGTTTTACCGTTTTCGAATCCATTCGGCGAATTGATATTACGCAGCGCCTGAAAATATTCCCAGCACGCTCCCTGTGCAAGCAGGTGGTCACGTTGGTTATGTTGACGGAAGTTAGCCTATTTTCAGGCGCTGCGTATCGTTTTAAATAGGAAAAATATAGAAACTCTTTGGTCATTTTTGAGCGAGATGCTAACGGTCTAATCAGATTCAATGATCTATGCTAAGCTACAGCTAAAAGTGCTACC